CACTGTCCCTCCTCCGGACGTGTCCAAACCACTGTCCCTCCTCCGGACGTGTCCAAACCACTGTCCCGCCTCCGAACGTGTCCAAACCACTGTCCCTCCTATGGACATGTCCAAACAATCTCAATGTGTCCAACATTTTTCAGTCCGGTCATCTGGACAGTTTTTTTTTTTTTTGTGCTGAAACGTTTCACCTTCCATCCAGAAGGCTTCATCAGTCAAGGAAACACACAACAAAACTGATTCTTCCTCCAACAGCTTACTCCAAAGTGGAACAAACCAGTTCTGCTTGTGATAAGATGGTCTCTTTGGTACGCCCCCTCCTCCATTGATGGCCCTCTTCCTTGTTGACAGTCTTGTCAAACTGGTTGCAAACAACAAAGTCCATGCTCAATAATCCAGGTATACAATCCAACATTTTTCAGTCAGGTCATCTGGACGGTTTCTTTTTTGTGCTGAAACGTTTTGCCTTCAATCCGGAAGGCTTCATCAGTCAAGGAAACACAAAACAAAACTGTCCAGATGACCTGACTGAAAAATGTTGGATTGTATACCTGGATTATTGAGCATGGACTTTGTTGTTCATCTCAGTGTGTCCTCTCTAACTTTATCTCCCAGTTGTTCAACCTGTGCTGTACCTCTGATCATCTCATTCCTGATCTTCTCCATCCTTGTCTCTCCTAAGGAGAACCTCAACATCTTCATTTCTGACACTTCCAGTTCTGTCTCCTGTCTTTTTGTCCATGTCTCTGTCTCCAGACGTTACAACATAGCTGATCTCCCCTTTGACCTTTGCTGACACCCTTTTGCCACAAATTACTCCTGAAACTTTTCTCCATCACTCCATCCTGCCTGGACTCTCTTCTTCTTCACCACACTCCCCATGTTCCTGGCTAGTGGACCCCAAGTCCTTGAAGTCCTGCACCTTTGTGACCTCTGCTCCTTGTAGCCTCACTGTTCCACCTCCTCCCTTTCATTCACACACGTGGACTCTGTCTTACCACAGCTGACTTTCATTCCTCTTCTTTCAAGTGCATACCTCCACCTCTCCAAGTTCTCTTCCACATGTTCCCTGTTATCACCACAGATCACAGTGTCATCTGCAAACATCAGAGTTCACGGGGATTCCCGCCTGACCTCATTTGTTAGTCGGTCCATCACCAGAGCAAACAAGAAGGGGCTCAGAGCCGATCCTTGATGCACTCCCCCCACCTTGAAGTTATCGGTCACTCCAACAGCACATCTTTTGTTGATTGCAAATGTTAAAAACAAAATACCTAATTAGGACAAAAATATTCAAGCCTTTAGCTACTTTTCTCTCTCTTATAAAAGCACACAGCTTATCTTCCGACTCCAAAAGGAAAAAGTATTTTCAGCATCCATTTTGGGGTAAAGACATAACACTCAGATCCAGTTTCCATCACCCTTACAGTGGAAGGCTGTGCAGCCTCCCCAGACACAGAAAAGGAGCTCTGCGCTGACAGTTCATATCTCTTGGTGCACATTATCCAGCTGCGTCCACATACCCTTGGTTGCTTTTGTTTGCCTATTTTGTTTTTAACCAGTGCATGACACCCACTGAAATGTGTGCATCCAATTATAGCAGCTGTCATTTGTAAGCAGTCTGGAAACATGTACAAAAAGTAAATTACACATCAGTTTAGTTTTTTTTTTTTTTCCCTTTAATGCAGCAAGTATGTAAGAATTCATTTCAGTGATCAGAGGAACAACTTGTGGAGCAGTGAAAAATGGATTGAAGCTCACCTGTTTGCAGAATCTTAAAAATCCAATGGAGTAGCTCATTCCAACAAGACAGCATGTTCCATACAGACAACTGGACCTGAGTAGACGGAAGGAAGTCATGGGTTATCGTCACGCCAAAGCTGAAACACGCTCATTACACAGAGGCACGAAAACAAAATACATAGGAGTCAAATAGAATCATGTGATGAGATGCGGTAGAGGTAGAGTTGCACTCAGGTCCAAATAATCTGAACCGACCCGGCCCCAGCCCGCAGCCATCATCTCTGAACCCCACCCAATCCAACAAATTAACAGTATTAATAGGTCCAAACCTGAAACCCCCCCGACATTTTTAATTAAGCTTTGATTGCTTATACCACCGACTATTATTAACAGTTGGTGCACGCACGAGGCTGAGGGGATAGAAGATCGGAGCAGAGGAGCCCTCAAAGTGCATTAAATGCTTCCCCTGCTTCTGCCTGCATCCTGCTCTGACATGTTGGATATTTTCTGATCTCACCTGTTTGGGTCGTTAGGGTGAGTGCAGCGGCTGAATGAACGTCCATTTGGCTGATGGACCTCCTGCCAGTACTCCATCTGAAGCTTAACTGAACTTTTTTCCTCTTTCAACCGGCCGGTCAGCGCGTGGTCAAATGGCCACATACGGCAGGTGTATTATGGCAAGTCATGTTTGCATGTATTGGATTGTCGGCCGCGTGTGTCCCCGATGCAATAAAAAGCCAGACACCGACACCGACCCACACATTAAGCACATTATTATGGCCCGGCCAGGTCCTAATCTGGGTCGGGCAGGGCCGGGCTCTGGGTTCGGGTTAGAAATGACAGGTCTAGGTAGAGGCAGAGCAGCCGACTCGGGAATCAAAAGTCCCATGTTTGATCCCCAGTCATTGCACATCTCATGGTGTCTCTGAGCAGCACACCCTGTCCCCAGTTGCTCCCTGGGCACCTTCAACAGCTGCCCACTGCTCCACCTGTGGGTGGATGAGTTAAATGCAAAGAGCCAATGTCACCGTTGTATGGGAACAAACAATGATGACAATACATAACACATTATTATTATTAAATGTATGAAAAATTTATCTGCCATAACATTATGACCCCTCTCAGTGTTTCCCCTAGATGACTTGCCTAGGTGGGGGCGCTCATCTTGTCCATGATTTTGGTTGATTGAGAGTGGGTGGGGGGGTGGAGGAGCGAAACACATACGCTCTGTGTGGTGTTTGTACCAACAGTTTTCTTTTTTTGGGGGGGGGGGGGGGGGGGGTGTTGCAGAGACACAGCTGAGCTGCACGCTGTTTTTACCAGTAATTTTGGAGCACGGGGGGGTCAGCATGAGGGAAGAAGCAGCGTGAGCACTGCCTTTAGCTTTTTAGTTAGCATGCCTATATTGTGTGATGCTAGCTTAGCGTTACACCGGTGCAGATGGGTGGGAGGGGGTGTGCACAGTTCAGTTTGGTAGGCAGGGCACTTGGTTCTGTTAAGGGGGCGGGGCTTGTATAATGGTAGGCGAAACACTGCGTGTAATATTGATTAGGATCCAATTGTGTATTTTTCCTGCTGTTGTAAGTTAGTTTGTGGATTTGGTTCGATCTAGTGCGAAAGGAACCAAGCTGGGACTGGAGGACCCAAAAACTCGCACGCATGGACTGGCTCATGAGAAAATAACGCACGATGGCAGAAATCTTCGCATTTTAACCAAGCACACACACATACCAGTACTAGTGCCGCCATTCTCACATCTGTAATGTTACTTTTAAAGTTCATGTGTTTTCATTGTTCGTTTTGCTTTTGTTCATTTATCAGGTCTCTCTTGTAAATGAGTCCTCGAGGCTCAATGGGATTTACCTGTAGAAATAAAGGTTGAATGAATTTAGCCACCTGAAGCTGAATTAAACTCCTTGATTTGCACTTGAAACACTTCTTATTTACACGGTTTTCTGTTTTTTTGGTGGTAAAAATCGTTGTGGCTGCTTAAGTTTAGAAAAAGATCTTTCATATTGAGAGGCAGACATGATAAAAACACCAGTCAAGAGTGTTGGCAGCAAATCCTCTGTGCACTGTGAATTACTGGGGAAGGTGTGTGTGTGGACTGGAAAAAAATAGCTGAATGCTCTTTTTAAAGAATAAAATAGAACAAATTTAGTTCAAGTCAGGGAATTGTGTGTATTACATATATTAAACCTGTGAGTGCACGGTTACATGTGTGATGCTTCGGTGAAGTGTAAAATTGGACAGAGTTTACTCACTGTATGGGTTTCCCTCGAATCTCTGACATGATTGCACTCTCTCCTCCGAGATACTCAAAGGACAGGCTCAGGAAATTGTATATAACAAAAGCTGTACCAAAAGAAGAAAGTTTATGGTTTTCATTTTATGTATCAACAATGCATGATTTCTACTGCTGAACATATTTAAGTATTTTACTTTGAAGGTCAAATAATTTCAGAGGAAAATCAACTTCCCCATGATTAAAAAAAACAGTCCAACATTTTGGAACAATGAACATTTCAGCCCTTACATTAAAGAGCTTCTGAGGGTTCTGTGTCTCCAAAATCCCTTCCTAATCCTTTGTTGCTATTTAAGGGAGGACTAAATGAAGCGAATGCAGATGGTGTCCAGTCAGGACAAGGATCATTATGTTTTAGCCGCAGCTGCTAATGGTTACTCTAATTCTTGATGCTCTGCACCATCAATCAGCTGCAAACCTGGTCTGCAAACAGACTAATCGGTCCAATTCAATCTTACAAATCGCTTGTAATCCAGTTTGCACAGGATTCAAACTTACACATTACATTCTGAAGAACAAGGTTTACTTTACATTCAGTCAGTATGGAATTGTTATGGAATTGTTTTGTACTTTTTTAAAATGAATAAACTTCATACCATACCATACTTCATACCATACCATACATTAAAATGCTGAGAAAACGTAGAAACTGATAAGAATTGTGCAAAACATCACGTGTTTGCAGGTATTAACTACAGCAGATAAGGATGCTCCTAAAATTACTCCTAGAAATGCAACACCTCAGATAATGAGTTCTACCTGTATGAAAACAAAGACAGGAATGAAAAACAGGTACGCTCACATTCTTGTCTTTCGGTTTCTAGAAGCCAAATGAAAGGGGGGTGGGGGTGGGGGGCAGTGTTGGTTGACTTCCTGAGACCAGCAATAAGCAGAAGGTTTGCCATTTGTGATACGTACCTTCGTAGCAGTCCCGGACTGAGTCAAAGTACACGTAGTACTGGTCGTTACTGATGAAAAGGAGACTGAGCCAAGAATCAAAGGCATAAACGGGAACAATGAACAGGATGCGGATAATGTAACGCTGCTCGTTGGGCACAGTGTAGGAGCGAAGGTGTGTGAAGATCTACAACCAAAACACAAAGAATAAAAACATGGCAACAATAACTAATCCTGCAGAACAAAATTGCAAAACTGTAAAATATATCCTGATGCATGCTCAATAATTATAATAATATAATAATGTAAAATATAGTTATGAATGATGCACGCGAGTCTCGTACAAGAGTAACATTTGGACAATTAGTGTTTGTGAGAGGGAGAAACAAATTGTGAAAAGCTCTCTAGAACCTGTGTTATCTGAACCACTAATGTCAACTAGAACTGCCTCTAATTAGCAGATAAAAATTATTCATGATGTTACCATCAACTCTAGTGGTGCAATTAACAGATCGTGCTCAAACCACCAGCACTCGGCCTCTGCAGAGTTCGCACAGTTTATTTTGAACTCCAGCTCATCTTTGGCCCCGTTTACATGAGAATAAACTCTGGAAACTTTAGTGTTTTTTCAATCTTTATTGGGGGTAATAAACAAAAAAACGTGGGGAAAAAAAAACATTGTAGTTTCCATGTCTGTCGGGTTGCCAGATAAGAAATTATGAACTATAGTACTGTGGCGTTAAAATTATAGTATTTTGACCCACACTGTCATATGTGCTGAGTAAAGATACTCTAAGATGAGGTGTGTGTTGTGTTTGTTGAACATGTGCACAGAAAAGGAGAGGGTAAAAGTGAGGAGGTAAATAAGACATTTAAATTTATCTGGCAACCATGAGGGCTCACCTGCATTCATTGTGCATCCAGCATCTGCATTATACAGTTGCATCCAAACTGGTGAACACACTAAAGTGTTTGGAGCCTGGATTTGATTAGTTTTGCTCCTACATGCTGAAACAGGGCGAGCGGCGCAAAACACTGCTCTCCAACATTTATTATAACTGTTATTACATTTATCATACCTCTTGTTACAGTTACTATACCTCTTGTTACAGTTACTATACCTCTTGTTACATTTATCATACCTCTTGTTACATTTACTATACCTC